TGAGAGAGATAGACAGAGAGAGACAGAGAGGTAGTGAGAGAGATAGACAGAGAGAGAGAGAGAGGTAGTGAGAGAGATAGAGAGAGAGAGAGAGAGAGAGAGGGTGTGTGTGTGCGTGGGTGTGTGAGGGAGAGATACCGCCCACCCGCCTCCCTGCCTGCCTGCTACCCTCCCTCCCTGACTGTCTGCCACCCTCCTTCCCTGACTGTCTGCCTCCCTCCCTCCCTGCCTTCCAGCCTGCCTCCTTTCCTGACTGACTGCATGCCTGCCTGCCTACCTCTCTCTCCCTCCCTTCCTCCCTCCCTCACTCCCTCCCTTCATGACTGACTGACTGACGGACTGACCGCAGCCGATGTGCGATCAATCGTATTTTTATGTTTAGCGCTCGCGCGTACATAAAGTGCTATGTAGTATATATGTGTAGCCCGTCCCCCACACGACTGCCGCGGCGTGCCAGCCAGCCAGGGCCGCTGACAACAAAACATATCACACTCAGGCAGAATGCCGGGGGCCGTTGTCAGAAACAAAATTAGTCTTAACATTAGTCTTAACATTAGTCTTAACATTAACTTCCACTCGTACACCGTTGACAGAAACATCGCAAAGTTAGGAGAATGAAAAATCCTCGGAAATATCCTCTTAACATTACGAGAGCCCAGACCCTCTCGTAACTTTAATATTAAGTTGAAAATCCCACATTTACACTACGAATTACAATTATAGGGATATTATATTTTATAATGATGAATAAAATGTGTGTTTTTCTTGAAAAACACGTCAAAATCATTAATTATCTACCGATCATAAAACAAAACAAAACATTTACAAATAACTTATGGCATTTGTTCTCTTGCTTTAAATGTTTGCCACGCTTGCCACGACTATCGCGTCTCGTGTTACAGTGTGAGAATGTGTCTTGTTGTGCAGAATAAATTCATGACCGCGTCGTTTTTCATCAAATATTATTTATATGATAATGTGGTTAGCCATCATAATATGCATAAATTACTGTGATGTACAATAAATGTGTATGAATTTGAATTTTGTGATCGATTCTCATCCAATCAGCAGCTTTGTGATGAAGTTCCTGTTATCGTAAGTTTTCTAATAGCTGCGATGTGTTTCTGTCAACGCTCCTTTCGTAACATTAACATTAGTCGTAAGTGTTATCTTAGCATTAACATTAGCATTAACTTTACGATGTTTCTGACAACGGCCCCATGGTTTGTAAAAACGCTCAAGAGCACTCACAAACTCCATGGCGCCAGTGCCTGGTCCCACATCGCCCTTCTTATCACCGCCACCTGGTGGTCCTGCCTTTCTATACCCCTCACGTTCCGCTCGTTCAGACCCATAGCCGGTCGGTTTATCTGGGAAACCTGAAAGACACACAACCTGTTAATGCCGACATCAGAATTCATAGTAGTGAAACTACAGTGCCACAACGGTTGCACTAATGGGGGATATGCCACAGCTATTCTTTTTTGCTTGTAAACCTTTGAGTAAATATAAAATTTCTGAAGACCTCAATTGAATAATGGATGCAAACCGAAAAAGGACACCAGAATTTACATGCTGTGACACTATTACATTTTTCAAGAAATATCTACGATTCGCTAACCTCATGCATAGAAAGAGTAATAATCACAGAAATAATTTTCTATGAGCACTCTGTATTTATCCCTGTAACCTAAATCGAGATTAGGGGTGAGTATTGCGACCAAAAACCGTATTGCAATATATTGCAATACGACAAAACCGTATTGCAATATTTTCCAATACGTATTGGGAAGTGTATACCATGCATGATATCCCCCGGTGTCGCGCGAAATATCTGACGAGTGCGAAATATCTGAGATAGCCCCGCCCCGCCCCGACCCGACCAATGACAGCTCGTCTTGTGTTACGTTAGGTTGTGCACACTAAATACCAAGTTCTGGTACAGAGTAGCGAAGGAGCAGTGTAGGGAGGGGGAGGGGGAGGGAGGAGGAAGTTTAGAGTAGTACTAGTAGGTGGAGTAGGGAGAAGCTAGTGAAGAATGAGGAAGAGGAGAAGCTGGTGGAAAAGAAGGAGGGGAGAAGCTGGTGGAGAAGGAGGAGGGGGAGAAGGGAGAAGCTGGTGGAGAAGGAGGAGGGGAGAAGCTGGTTGAAGCCAAATTGTAACGCAATATGCCGCGACTAGTATTCTCGGGTTATGACTAATTGAGTCTGTGTATAGGGTTCATATATAGCAACCCATAACATTAGTATTAACTTATATGAGTATAAGTAAGATACAATGCATTCAGCGCAATAATATTTGTAGTGGTTTTCGGCTCAATCGTGCAGTGGCGTAGCTAGGATTTTTTCAGCGGGGGGAGGGGCACTGAGGGGCCTTATATTTTCGTGGGGGTACAATGTATAACTTTTCTTTGTATTATACTATTCTAACGGCATTGTTTTTAATTCAATTTTTTTTTTATCAAACATGAATTTTCAGTGGGGGGGGGGCACCTGAGGGGCACAGAAAATTTGTGGGGGGGGTACGTGCCCCCTAGGCACCCTGTAGCTACGCCCCTGCAATCGTGTATTGCAACAAACTAGTGCCTGCTATTGCAACCTGTGCAAAATAGCAACATTACGTCTGTTGATAATCTAACACAACAACGGCCTTGTCACATCTATTGTGGTCTAGATTATCTACTTTTGATGCTGCCAACGTTTGTCCGTCCGCCATTGGCTGAACGCACGTTAGCGCTTCACCAATCAGCACCAATTTTCATAGGGCTTTTTAAAACGTCATAAAGGCTCATGGAACATCACGGAGTATCATAGAACATTGTTAAGCTTTTTATAACATAATAGCTGTTTCTGGAGCATCACGGATTATCATAGGCTATTGCGATGCTTGATAGAACATCATAGAGTCTCATGTAACACCATGAAGTATCATAGAATATTTCGAGGCGTTATAGAACATCGTACAGTCTCATGTAACACCATGAAGTATCATAGAATATTGCGAGGCGTTATAGAACATTATGGAGCCTCATGTAACACCACGGAGTATCACAAAATATTGCGAGGCGTTATAGAACATCATGGAACCTCATGTACCACCACGGAGTATCATAGAATATTGCGAGGCTATATAAAACATCATGGAGCTTCATGTAACACCATGAAGTATCATAGAATATTGCGAGGCGTTATAGAACATTATGGAGCCTCATGTAACACCACGGAGTATCATAGAATATTGCGAGGCTTTATAAAACATCGTGAACCTTCATGAAACACCACAAAGTTTAATAAAATATCATGAGCCTCATGGAACATTATGGAAAATCGGAGACTCCCATGAAGCAACGCAGAACTTCATGTCTTTATAGAGCTTTACGGAATATCATGAAACTTCATGGCGCACAATAAAACTGCATAACGATTCCTGAAATTGAATAGAACTTTGTTGAGTTCTATTGAGAACCAGGAGTGCACAGTATAATGATATCCCATTTTTTTTCAATTATCTCTGTGAATGTCTAGACACACACACACGTACACGCACACGCACACGTGCACGAAACCGTACACATACATGCACACGTAAACGCATACGTACACACCCACGCACGCGTCCACGTGCATGTACACGCACACGTCCACGTGCACGTACACGTACACTCACACGTACACGCACACGTACACGTACACGTACACGCACACGTACACGTACACGCACACCTAAACGCATACATACACGCATACATTTGCGCCCACGTACTCGCACACGTATACGCACACGCACACGTACATGCACACGTACATGTACACGCACGCGTACACGTACACGCACGCGCACACGTACATGCACACGTACACGCACACGTACACGTACACGCACACCTACACGCATACATACACGTCCACGTACACGCTCACGTATACGCACACGCACACGTACATGCACGCGTAGACGCACGCGTACACTCACACGTACATCCATACGTACACGTACACGCATACGTACACCCCCACGTACACGCACGTACACGCACACGTACACGCACACAAGTATTACACGTACATGCACACGTACATATACACGCACGCGTACACGCACGCGTACACGTACACGTACACGCATACGTACACGCCCACGTACACGTACACGTACACGCACACATGTATTACACGTACATGCACACGTACATATACACGCACGCGTACACGCACGCGTACACGCACACGTACACGCACACACATAGACACATCATTTCTATATCATGTCTATATTATGCACTCCTAATAGAACTGTATGGAGTATAATTAAGCTATCGCATAGAATCTGCTCATTCGCATAGAATCTGCTCATTCGCATAGAATCTGCTCATTCGCATAGAAGCTAAGACTGCCTCATTCGCCCATAGAAGCTGCCCTCATTCGCATAGAAGCTTGCTCATTGCGCAGTCAGCGATCTGCCTTGATCGCAGAGCCATCTGCTGCGATCGGCCAGTAGCTGCTGGATCGCAGCAGAATCTGCTAATCACAGAGAATCTGCTTAGATCGCAGCAGAATTTGCTTGGATCACAGAGGTATCTTCCCCAGATCACAAAGAAAGCTGCCTAAGATCGCAGACTTGCGCGATCGCCAGAGAATCTGCTGGTTTGCCCAGAGAATCTGCTGGTTTGCTAGTAGCGTTCTGCCAGATCACATTGCAGGAGCTGCTAGATCGCGGAGGATTCTGCTGGTGATCGTGGAGGATCTGCCTGAATCGCGGATCTCCGTGTGAGCCGTCATGATGCTCCATGGAACAGAATAGTGGCCTAGCCAGGTTAGTAGGCCTTAGAATTTTAGTGAATGGCCTCTGCTGCGGTTTAACTGTCACTTGCACAGTTTAGGCCTAACAAATACGTGCTTTGTTATACACTAGTTGTTTTGCATAAATAATAGCACTTGGCTGTTTTGCTGCTAATTTTATGTTTGATGTGCATTAAATGCACATTCTACGAGCGCCAAGCTAAGCTTGCATTTAAATTGTTACTCTAGTTGCCTGTAATGCAAAACGAAACGAAGTTGAGGAACACAACCCCAAAGATTTTCCTCGATGTAACAAGTGTGCTTCAAAACGTTACATTACATATTTCATAACGGTTCGTCAGGCCCCACAAAACCTGCCTTAAAGCATTCCATATAGCGCAATACGTTGGGATATAATGTTGACAACAATGTCAGGAGCAACGTTGAACAGCGTGAAAACTTGTTTGTATTTTGTTGTTGAAAACTCAAACGCTCAGTTTTCTACAATGCGAAGAACGTCAGTTTTCGACAAATGCAACAACGTAAGTTTTCAACGTGCAAACAACGACAGGGTTTTCAACTTTCGCTTTTATTTTTCTCCCCACAGAGTAAAAAATGTAACAGAAATTAAGTTTCATATTTTGTTATATTCGTCTACAACATACAGCATTAAAGCAAGTGCGAAACTACAGCTATTAAAAAATTAACTGTTAGATTATTCCCAATAACACGCGTATGTGTTTCAATTTACGAATTCATTTTTTTATTTGCTCAGACTTCAAACGGGGAAATATTGGATTTCTGCTGCCCGTTCGCGCCGAAAATAGCAGCATGCGGATGAAATATGGAATTCAAATCATTGTCCGCGGCTAATCCGACTATAGGCAAAACGTACGGTTAAATCGCGAGCGCCTGGTATCTGGCCGAATTGCAGCTAGAGCAGCCATCTTTTTTTCGTACGGCGGGACCGACGGCCACTATGCCCACATAAATGAATGCTGGAACATAGTCTCCGCTCGACGATTTTATCGTCTCGCACGTTGTTTATATTTTGTGATGATTATGAATTTAAATTGGGCTTATTAGGGGTATCATCTCAGCATCGATTTCTGTTAATTAATTGTTATCAGTAGCCTGTGCATCATAATTAGGAGAGCGCTCCTAGGCCTGTAGGGCTGCAAAATACCTACTTCATCCGCCTTCCGCCCGTTCCCCTTGCCTCCCCTGTTTGTCGCTCATCCTCTCTCTTTTTCTTCCGCCCCCCCCCAGTATCTCCCTGTTGCCATTTCCCAGTCTCCAACACTTACTCCCTCTTCGCAGCAATCTATATTATGCAGTTGTCTTAGTCTGTCACTGCAGCCTGAAACGGTGCTCGCGCTGCGCATATCTCCGAGAATTTTAATATTTTGGCGAAAAAATTTATGGCATTTCAAAATAGAGAGGAGGTATCAGCGTGCCGAGGGCTGCCACTACCAATTTTACTTTCTGCAAATAAATAAAAAGCCCAAAAAAAAATCATAAATCAAAATCAGAATTCAAAACGAACATCAAAAGTCGAAATCAAAATCAAAATCAAAATCAAAATCAAATAATATTCAAAA